AGTTGAATTTCTAGAAAAGTCAGTGGTAAAACGTTAAACTAAAATGAAATAATTTAGAAAAAAAGTACTAATTGTTAAACACTTGGCATAGAGTATTCGGTCGTTTTATCTTTTTGTCCGAAAAATCTGCCGTGAACAAGATTATGTTTCACTCTAACTGAACCATTTTGTGACTCAGTTTCAGCTCCCTGTCTAAAGATTAACATTGCATTTCTGAGGCCCTAGATGAAATCCACCAATCGATATTTATTGTATCAAAATTCTATTCTCGGTGATTACTTATCTGTTTTTTTTGTATCTTAGACACTAATCACTAATTGACTGACTTTCATATTTATCTGTCAAACGAGAAAGCAATTTAACTGTTAAAAAAAGAACTTGAAATAAGTTGGTTTATTGGACTGTCAGAGATGCAGTGGTTAGAAGCTAATTATTGGTTTATCTTGAAAGAAACTTTAACGCTGATACCTTTTACGATATACTGATAAACATTCATCAGATATGCAGTAAATGAGTTCTTTAATTTTAAGCACCTTATCTCCAAATCACTATTTGCACAGATCTTCGTGTTGTGGTACTTCTGGACTTCATATTGTGTTTCTTTATGTTCCTTTCACGTCTCCCATGTATCTCCACAAAGCTGAATCATTTGCCTTCTCTGACATCAAATGTATCTCCCTGCTGTTTGGTGTTTTTATGCGAATGAACGTCTCTTTATATACTACTGATAAATCTAGTCAGTAGCACTCTCCACAATATGAGGGTGCAGCTTTGCAAGAAAGAATTAATTTCTACAAATCTCTGTTTGACCTTTATTTCTTAGCCACTAGTGCCTCTCAGAAAGATGTATCTGAAATCATGAGGAATATCATGTTTCCTTCATGACGTGAACTTAAATACTGCTAAGGTGAGACGACTAACCAGTGACCTACTTATGTCACAACTAACCACACTGTTCCTACTGTAGTATTTTTGAAAGAGAAAAACACATTAAGAATGATGTCAGCAGCTAACAAAATGAAAGTTCAAAAATTATATACCCAAATCTGTTAGAAATAATAAATAGAGAAAACTTAACAGTCAAGTTTGAGGATGGAGTTCCCACCGATGACATTGGTTGGTGGTCATGCTAAGTCACGAATCGGTGGAAGTTAGAATTCATGGGCCATTGAATCGGGTCCCAGTGGCTGAATGGTATACGAGCTTACCTTGTAACCCGAAGGTCCTGGGTTCAAACCCTGGCGGTGGGTGGATACTGCCGATGATTCCCAAACTAGGATGGAGGAGACAGCTGTCCAGTACTCCCTGTGGCTGGTTTTCAATGGTTCTCAACTGATATCAATCCGTGGTCAAACTCGTACAAACAAATCTAATCCTTACAAACCAAACTCTTGAACATTAGTTTATTATCATTTTTTATTTTATTCTTTTACGTTCCCAGTGGAACCTAGGGCCTCAAGCTAGAGCTTTGAAGTTTCGGTAGCAGTGGTTTCCTTTTGAGGGATAGGGTTGCTAGCCTCAAGCCCAACTTCCTCTCTTTACCGGCCTTACTACTGACTTAGAGAGGTGCAGGAGTGCGTCGGCCAAGGATCGATCCCCGGACCAAATGATGGGTTAGTTTAACGAACAGATAAATCATTGGTCATAATTAAAATACACCTAAAATGATAAGAGATATCAACTTTATTGAAGCTACTCATGTACAGCTTATTTAATGTAGGATATCTATCGATTAGGATGATTACCATTCAAAAATTTTTTTATCGCATAATTTACGCCTCCCTTATTTGAACTAAATTTTCATGTGATATTTCGGAAGTAAAAAATTTTGAACATATATCTAAGTTCATAAATAAACTGTAAGTTATTAACTTCATTCGTACTTTTGCTTTGCTATCCCTTTGATTTGAACATTTTGTTTTCGATTCGTTTGAAATAAATGGTTAATAACGTTGTTAATTTTTGTTTAAAAATAATACAGAAGGATGTTTTAACAATAGACAACATGTTACCTATTAGCGTTATTTAGTAGACCTTTTCGTAAAAGTATTTCGCCTCAATTTATAATTGTGAACACTGCCTACTGCTTGTAACATAATAATATATAGTGCTTGTGGTTAATTTTATGAATCCAATACACAGGCATTGATGGTTTAGTTGTAGAATGGTCACCAACCACTCAGGTGGTTCAGATTCAATTCCAGGCTGACTCATTCCAAAGCCTCGCCTAGTTTAATAACTGGTAGTAAGCCAGGGAAAACAAGAAGGGTGGGTGTGAGGCTAGTAACCTCACCGCATAAAAACGACATGACAACTGAAACTTCAAGGCTACCCAGCCTCAAGCCTTATGTTGTTCCACTTGCCATTCAAGGAATGAAAACACAAAGCACTGGCAACAACAGCTATAGAAGACTTAACAACAATACGTGAGTATCGAACCACAATGTTTATGCTATGTTATAGGCTTGAATTCAGAACCAGACACATAAAAGTTAAAAACAAAACTGTTAAAAATTTTTGTACTACTGCTGTAATATAAACTAATGGAATGAATAGCCATAATAGACTAAATGTAAATCTGATTCCTTTATGTATAATTGTGAATTTATGGCTTTGATTCTGTTGTACCTGAAATCTGCTTTGAATTCTATTATATGATCTCTTAATAAATGTTGTGACATTCTTTGAATTTTGATGAAGCTGAAAAAGGGAATCTATTAATCGTAATTTCAGCTTTACATTTGAATAAACATGGTTTCCTTATAGTCCAGGTCTAGGATTAAGAACTGTTATCGGCTTAATTATTTGATAGTGGTTGGGTTTTTACATTCACATTTAAGGAATAATAATAATTTGCTTTATTCCAAAACAGTACTTGTGATACAGAATAGAATTCTCAGCATTTTTACTACAGTACTGCATCCAGTTAGTACATTATCAATAAATAGAATTCTACATAGATTAAGGAAATCTCAGTTCATTATGACAACAACATATTGGCATGTCGGTAGCAATGCCAAAGTTGAACAGTGTTTGAAGGTGTTAGAAATGGAGGTGCTATCATATTTACTGGCGTAAGCGGAAGAAAGAAACAAAGCAGCACATAACAGAAAAAGAGAGAGAGAGAAAATGTTGTACCTATAAATTACATGAGTTGGAAAGACGAGGTCCAGTTGTACTACTGACTATTTAATGAATTATAGGTGTCACGCCTAATGCTTTCTTTATCGCACAGAAGACGAGCTAAGTAGGGTATGGTTGAGTTTTTGTACTTGCTGGTACAAAGATTCAACCAATTCATTCATATGAATATAGGGGTTGTCCATAAAGAATGTGAGGGAAACAAACCATTAATTCAATTATTTCTTATAAAAGTAGTCGCTGTTTGCACATTGATACGCTTGCATAATGATACTCATGACAATTAACACCGAAGACTAAATGAGATTTTGCTCATCGTATTATTCAGTTTCTTCTGAAGAAATGATATTCCTAAATTTTAGGAAAAAAATTTAAGAGTATGAAAGTTTTTACGTTTCATCTACTGGATTATGTATATTACTAGTTTGTACATGTGTATCGGTCATAGCTGAAATGTTTCATTTATTTTCAATTCCTTTACTTCAGGCAGCAGCTTTGAAGTTTCGGTAGCAGTGGATTTATTTTTGCGGGGTGAGGTTAACAGCCTCACTCGTAACCTTCTCTCTTTGCCAGGCTTACAACCGGCTTAGCAAGGTTTAGGAGTGTGACGGCCAGGGATTGAACCTCGGACCACCGCAAAATTTTAATTCTTTGAAAAAGTTTTATTACTATCTGTTTCACAAATACTAAAGATATCTTGGTGACTAACCTAAGTCATTCAAAAATCAACACTACAACAGCAAAATCTCCAATGTGTTTGTATCACATAACATCATGCTTTTATGTCCATTAAGCCGTTACAAATATTTTCTCCATAAAGTAGTAATAAAACAAAAGAAATATGACAGTTAATATCGCATTGTCTAGTTGCAAAGACTATTTTAAGTAGCTTTGAATGGTACACAACTCCTTAAATAAGACATTAGAAATCAAAGTCGTTTAATAATCAGACGTTACTATGACTGAGCTATAAATCCCATCACAACGTCTAAGACATCTGTTTGGTGACCCGACAATAAGATATCTCATTCCTATCACAAACGAAGTTTTTCCTTCTATGTTTACTGCTGTCTGACAAAAGTTCTCCTGCACTCATTCAACCAACGAACATGACAAGTGGATAACAGAAGCATCCAGTATTATTAAAAATGGAGTCACTGACAAATGTTTAAATCACTACATATCAGTGAATGTAAATGTTTACAGAAGTGTGTTTCTATCATAAAAAGAGCCATTGAAACCGACCAATAAACGTTTCAATGTTACACGAATACCCATAACTGAAACAGACTTATGGAAGGTAGGAGCTAAATCTTAAATTCTTATTTCGAGTAAGTCTTTGCTTACCCACTACTATGTCGTCTGTTAACAGTAAAATACAAATGATACGTTTATTCGAACTTAATAACTAGGATCAGATCTTTAGAGTACCAGGCTAAGAAGCACACTTATTGTGTAAGGTTCGGTGAAATAACAGATGATATAGGTGACATAATAGATAATATTCATGGTAGGTTGCTTGACTTTTTAAAGATGAAGGTTACTGTACCTTTCTTGTCGTATTCTAAGATGTGAACCGAAAATTAAAGGGCATAATCTTTAAATCTGACTAACGATAGTAATTAGAATGACAGGCTTAATTCTGTTGAAGGAAATTAGGAATGGAAGTACTAAAAAGAATGTTTGTTAATGTTAAATTTATAATGCATTTATATCAATATACATACATCCTATTTTCTTGAAGTTCTCAATTCACCTAGACAGTTTTAAATCATAGAAATTGAAACGTTTTATACGTTTTGCATTCCATGTAACTTGTTTTTTCAAAGAGATATTCTTCTACTGCATTCTTCTTTCAGGACGATATGTATTCACTCAATGAAGAAGACACCAAAGACGGCATGTTTAATATCAGTATGAACAAGTTATTCGACGAAGATGAAAAATATAGTGGAATGTTAATGCAATGGGGTCAATTTTTAGATCATGATTTAGACTTTACACCAGTTGATGCATCAACAAGTCGATTTAGTGATGGTCTTGGATGTAATGAAACTTGTGTCAATGATCCACCATGTTTTCCAATTTTAGTCCCTCCAAATGATCCACGTATAAAACATCGTTGTATTGGATTCGCTAGATCAAGTGCTACATGTGGTTCAGGCTCAACATCGATCCTTCTAGGGAAACCACGTTACAGAGAACAATTAAATCAAATTACTGCTTTCATAGATGCATCAAATGTCTATGGAAGTGATGATTTTGAAAACAGTCAACTGAGGGAAACATTATTCGATGAAGGCAAAATGAGAGAAGGTATGCCGACAAAAGCTGGTAAACGTTTGTTACCATTCAATATCAGAGGACAGGTAGGTAGCACTATTAGAAATTTACGTTTTTTACATAATTCAAGAAGTGTTAAACTAAAACTCATTGAAAGGTAAAAGTCTTCGCAAATTATTGTAGAATTCTCCAGAAATGAAGTACAGTGATTTCGTAATTTGGAGTTAGCGCTAGGGAATTAAGTTTTTTGTTGAACCTGTTAACGTGAACTGGTTAAAAGTGGCAAGTTCATGTTCACAAAATGTAGTATAAAAAGATTTATAGACAACAAATATATAACACAACAAAGAAGTAGTAAAGGCTGAATATTAATTATATTGACTGCTGTAGACTAATTTATCAACAAAAAATATTTTTAAGATTCCACATCTACACATGGTTGGTTTGAATTATATTAGTATATTAATTTCAAAAACTGTTTACAGTCTCAGTGTTACACTATTTCATAAATTCTTTTTTAGGATTGTGAGATTTCTAAACATTTTCCAATTCATTTCACATGTTTAAACCTTCAGTGATTTACAGTATTTTACATAAAATCAGTTGAATTCGCTTCCCTATAACTCATGATTAGCATTGTTAACATTTTTATCGAAGAAGAAAACCTTTCACATAGAAAGCCTCCGAAAATTACCAGTAAACCATAAAATTTTCAGACAGAGTTGATTATTCAGTTTCCCTTTTTTTTTAAGCGATACATTTTGCAAAAACCATTTCTATTCTACGTCAGTGAAAGCAAAATTAATGTGAGTAAAAACCTGAGAATCTTGTGTTGGTGTACCTACCACTCTATGTTGTATTGTTCTGGTTGTTAGATATCTCAAATCACTAAACCTTATCATTTACTAGATGAATTTGTGTGTGTTCATAAATCAAGTTTTTGTTTAAATTTATGATTTATTTGAATCAATATCTCGAAAGATGTCGTCAGTGTTTTCATTCTGACAGCACTTTCTAAAGTAATTCAAGGTTTAAGGAAGGTTAGTGAGATTAAAGCATTTTGTTTCAAATGGATTTTAAGTATACTTTAAGGATTACTTGTAACGAGAAATACAAGTTTTTATTAATCAGGCATTGTTAACGTCTAAAATTCACTGCATGTTTAATTTAATTTTGTATTTCCCGTTGACTGATTATATTGAACTGATACTGTTCCATCTAGTGGCCCAGTTGATAAGGCTTTGGCGTTTGAAACGATAACTGCTGGGTTCGAGTCCCATTAGAAACACTAACACTTGCTGGGAATCTAGGTATATCCAGCTGGAGAGTCCCAGTTGGGACGAAATGCGCCTCCTGGATTCCACTGCTAGTTTCTATCTACCAAATAATAAAATTCACTACAGTTCTTCTCGTAAACCATTGCATAACACTGATTAGAATGCGACTTCTAATTTGATATCGGTAGGCTTGGTGATTACATCGATGTGAAGTCAGTTCAAGCATTCATTATGTTTGATTAACTATTCTGACGCATCACTTTTCGGCATAGGTGTCATGTGAATTTTACAACAAGTAAGCTTCCTTAAGATAAATAGCTATGTACTTCGAAAACCACTAAGGCAATCAAAAACACTATAATTCTTTAGAAGTTGTAGATGTATGATTGATGCAAGATGTATGCTTGGTTGGATTACCTGAGATAATTTTACCTTGGCAAACTGCTTATATGTGATAAGTCAACAGTAGAGATTATTTCACATTTCGAATCAGCACTCTCTGGATTACTAGTTCAACGTTTCACCAACTAGACTACAAGATCATGTCACTCACTGAGTCTAAACATCAAAAATGTTTAAATTATGAACTTTTTCTGAAAATGTTATATTATTCTATACAGTCTATGTTTATTAAATTAATATTGCCAGATGGAAACATATGTTCAGGATTTATTTCAATCAATTATCACGCATTCATGTTCTTTTTCTTCTTCTTATTATTATTGCCTTACAAGCCTTATTAATGAAGAAAGGCCAAAATTTGTTTACGATAAACAAAAATATTCATAGGAAAATAGTTTTTGTAAGGCATTTCTTTGAGATTTCGCTAACGTTTGAAGTGATGATTACTGGGTGTAAGTCTTTTAGAGAACTCTTAGAAACAGTTACATTCTGCGTTTCAGAAACAACGTGGATGTGAAAGCGCTGTGCAAAGTGTACAGTGTATGGTGTTAACAGCGCATAGTTGCCTAAACCTTGACAGGATAAATACCTAGACACCAATTAGCCACAACTGCGCAAAATCATTATACTTAAATGAGTAATCACAGAATCAGCAGATACGCTCTCATGGTGACAGCAGAGACTGAAGCTAAACAATGTCCATTTCACATACTTGCAGTCCAGTTTACTTTCAGCTAATTAAGTATGATGAATACTGTGTTTATGAGACAGTTGAATAGCTTTTAATTTTATTGGTAACTAAACATTTTGATTTCTGTTTACATTTTGTTCATCTTCTTGAAACAGGTTGACTGTCAAGCTGATCCAGGTCAAGATTTCGTACCATGCTTCAAGGCTGGTGATCATCGTAGTAATGAGAATCTGGGTCTATTATCATTGCACACTTTGTGGTTAAGAGAGCATAATCGTTTAGCTGACAGTCTGAGGACGTTAAATCCTCACTGGTCAGGTGATAGGATATTTCATGAGGCAAGAAAAATTGTCGGTGCATCCATGCAAGCTATCACATATCGTGCTTGGTTACCAATAGTACTTGGACCAGATGGAATGAAATTATTAGGCACATACAATGGATACGATGATCAAACAAATCCAACAATAAGTAATGCATTTGCTACAGCTGCTATGCGTTTTGGTCACACTATGGTACCTCCAGTTGTATTTAGATTAAATGAAAATTGGGAGCCGATTGAGGAAGGTCACTTACTATTACATCAAGCATTCTTTGCTCCTGACAGGTTACTTAAAGACGGGGGAATGGATCCTATTGTAAGAGGTCTTTTATATAATGGTATTCGTGATCGTTCAAGGAATCCATCTCTTAACAGTGAACTTACGGAAAGATTATTTGCTATGGCTCATGAGCTAGCATTAGATTTAGCAGCTCTAAATGTCCAACGTGGACGGGATCATGGGCTTCCAAGTTATACGGAATATGCATATAAAGTCTGTGGACTAGGTAATTCCCCACATCCCAGTACCTTTGAAGAATTAAAACCAAGAATTTCAAAAAAGCATGTTTTAGAAGGACTACGCAGGGTCTATGGTCATCCAGGAAATATTGATTTATTCACAGGTGGAATATTAGAAGATCTATTGCCAGATGCTAGAGTAGGTCCAACCTTCGCTTGTATCATAGCTGAACAATTTCGTAAACTTAGATCAGGTGATCGATTTTGGTATGAAGCCTCTGGAGTATTTTCGCCAGCTCAATTAGCAGAGATCAAACGTACAGGATCAAGTTTATCACGTATTGTCTGTGAAAATTCAGATAATATCACTCAAGTACCTGAGAATGCTTTCATCAGACCTTATCGTAAACAGGATTTAGTTGATTGTAGTCGTATATCGCGAATGAATTTAGCCGTTTGGAAGGAATGTCCATCTACAAGTGGGTTCTTGAATACATTTCACGGTACTGCGTATATTACTGACACAGGGAAGTTAGAATCTGTTGAAGCAACAACACAGAGACGAAGTCGACGTGATATATCCGATATTGATCATATGTTATCATCACCAAATACTTGCAGTAATCATGAAACACAACAATTAAAAATATTATCAAACAGAATTCAACAGTTAGAAGAACAAATGTCTAAGCTCGTGGAAGCTAGTCAAAATACAACATCAAATAGTAATAATTAAAAAAAGATATCAATAGTCTGTTTGCTAACTTGTATTCAAAGGTTGAACAGATAGATCTATTTGTGAAAATAACTCCCAGAAAACGTAAACAAAAAAAAACTACATGAACGAATCGATTTTGTTATTTTTTCCCTGTTTTGTTTTCCTTCCAGACAATATAAACTATTCTAGAAATAGGTATAGTCAATAAAATCTTAGGATTTTTATTTTCAAAACAAAATGTACACTAACCTTACTTATCTTTGCCATTTATCGCTTTTTAAACGAGGAAATATCACATTTTTGTGTGTTTCCGAATGATCGCTATCAAAACTATTATTACTAATAATACTCTACAGAATGTAATCTGACAGTTGAAGCTTGTCAAAACTGAACAAATCCTAGTTGCCATTGATTATTTGTTTATGGATTATCTATAAATTTCTATTCCGCTTTCAAATGTCACTGTTAATTTGTTTACTATATGTCGCTTATTTTATTTCTCCTATAAAAGAAAAAAATATAATAAGTGTGAATATAAAAGATTATTTGATAGATCCTTTTGGTTTTCAGATTGTTGTTATTTCCGTGGTACGATTACTTTGTCAGTAGAACAACTGACAAAACCGATAGGGTTTATTTGAACCTTTTCACAGTCAATTTATTCAACACATTAAAAAAAACCCTATTTCAACGAAATTTATTTTGATGCTAAATAGGAATGATTATATGGTTAAGGTAATTTTTAAAATGTGTCAAATACATATTGTATAGGCAATAATTAATCTTGTAACTAATATGTTCATTGTCAGATAGAATTAAAAAAATTTGATAAGATAGTGATGAACCTTAAATAGTCTACTTTGAATGGACTTTTGTTTACATAAATGTTTAAACAACTAAGAGAAAACCTAGGTATTGGTTTGTAGGGATTTGATTGATTGGTTACAGGATTTCATCATGAGCTGACATCGGTTAGAGAATCATTGGAAAACCAGTCAGGGAAAACTGGAGAGCTGTTTCCTCCGACCTAGTTCGGAACTATTCAGCAGGACGCATCCACCGCCAGGATTCGAGGCCAGCGAGCTCGTAGACCATTAAGCCACTGGGACCCAATCCAATGGCCAGCTCATGAATTCCAACTTCTGCCAATGGTCGCGCTATGTCGTAGAATGCCAGAAGTCGGAAACCGTGGGCCATCGAATCGGGTCCCAGTGGCTTAATGGTCTACGAGCTCGTCTTGTAACCCGAAGGCCTGGGTTCGAACCCTGGCGGTGGATGTGTGCTGCTGAAGAGTCTGAAACTAGGACGGGGAAACAGCTGTCCAATACTCCCTGGTTTTCTTATGGTTTTCTAACTGATATCAGCTCATGATGAAATCCTGTAACCAAAGAGATAACTAAGTGAGAAGTTTATGTACAGAAGGACACTGAGTGATATTCATTGATGTAGATCTTCATGAAACCTTAACTCAATCGACTTCATTGTCTAGATTTTTTCTCGTCAGATTGGCATACACAAGTTATCTATAGTATTCAAAATGGAGTCTCAAATCACTCAGGATTTTTTCAATTGATACTTGTAAGAAACGTTTATTTACAGCTTAGTGTTCTACAGAAGATGAAAACCTAATTCATCCGGTGCTATTCTGTCATAGTAGATCAGTTTCCTCGCTTATTAAATCAATTCTGAACTTCCTCAGTTCTTAAGAATTATTAAGCTAATACTGTTTAATGACTTTTCAGTGACAAACTAGTTAGTATGCAACAGTAATACAGCTTTAAAGTTTATGTATTATTGATTATTTTTTACGAATATTCTGATAACTAGTTCAGATAAACAAAATGAATTAGTGTAACCTTAAATGAATACAATAAATTTATGCATATGAAGTTGTGAAAAGTTGGCAAACAATTTTATTAAAAAAAATAAACACACTATTTAATTCTATATAATTATTTTCCATTAATAGTATGTGATTGGGAACTGATAAGAATTGAATAAAGGCGGTGAAAAACAGTAGATAATGTTATAATTATGATAATTTTTGATTCATGCAAATCTCCTTCATTTTAATGGAAAGTGAACTTAACCATATAATGGGGAATGAAATGATAAATGTACCATCAGTTTCTACCTGGTGGGTATATGTCTGATAACTTTGGGCATTTAGTCACCTACCTAAGATTCAATTCTTTTCTTATAGTTCATGAATTTATAATGTCTATTCCAAACTTGAAAGTTAATATTAGAATATTGAAGATGACTTGTATCTTTTTTTTATTCCTTTGAGTTCCCAGTGGAACATAGGGCTTCATGCTACAGGTTTGAAGTTTCTGCATCAGTGGTGTTTTGTTTTACTGCGTGGGGTTGCTAGTCTCACGCCCAACGTTCCCCCTTTGCCTGGCTAATTATCAGCAGTGCATCGGCTGGCTGTCGAACCCCAGACCACGTGAGTGGTTGGCGAGCATTCTACCTCTGCACTACCGATGCACAAAACGTGGGAGTACTGAACAGCTGTTTCGTCCTAGTTTGGAACTGTTCAACAGTAGCCACACACTCCGGTTCGATCTCAGGACCATCCGGTCACGAGGCGAACTCGTAGACCATTCAGCCACTAGGACCCCACTTGTATCTTCAGTGAATGCATTTCGTGTTCTTGTTTTCTCTGCTCTGGATGGCCTAATTGTCCTTCTAGATAAAAAATTTCGAGCGCCAATCTCAGTGTGAAGTGAGTTTTTTTCGGAATTCTCCACGAATATGATATCTCTTCTGATAAACCTGACTGTGAGTGATTGTCACCAGACATTTTCTTATCCAAAAACCTGGTTTTACGTTGAAGTCAGCACTGCGGATGTTTCCCAGTAGGACAATGAATCATTCAGCTCAGAGAACGTAACAACATCAGAAGTTAATACTGATATACACTTAGGCATGAAAATCGTCAGAATTCAAAAACACATGATGTATACGCATCTTTGCAATTACTGTTAGGGGAATTATGCTTAACGATCACTTGTTCATCGGAACTGTTCTTAGGAAACTGACTATCCACAGAGGATAGATCGCCAATAATCAATACAAATAGAAGAACCAGAGGAAACCAAGGAGCAAGTTTTTAATTTAAAACTCTTTAGAAAAAGTATTTTCCTTTTGCATTTCTAATAAGCCCTAGCATAATCAGGTTTTCAATTTGAACATGTTGCCATTTAACCAACCGTTTAGAACGCCACCGCTAATAATTTTTAAATTCCTTCAGATTAGAAATAGAGTGCCATTGCTATCTGATGTCACAATGGAGGAATCCTAATATTTATGTACTTGACTTCATATCTGATCCCTTATGAGAAGAAGGATATCATTCACTCTTTAAGCTCATTAATTATGGGTGTGACACGGAAAGTTTCAATGAGTCATGCTTTTCACTAGAACTTTTCTGCATCAAAATAAGAACAAACTGTTAGACGAAAAGACTAGACACATTACACTAGTTACTGACTAGTGTGCAAACAAAAATATCCAATAGTCCTACAGGAGGTCAGTCGCGAGCCTAAATAGCTCAGTGGTAACGTCTCTGACTGCAGCACTGGGTGACGCGGGTTCGAATCTCAGAAGGGACATCAGTTCCTTCAAGGTTGCAGATACGCCTTGCTGATGAGTGCCAACTAGCACGAAACCTAAGTCAAAGGCTTCCTGCCGATTACCTCCAACCATCTAATACCAACAATTCACAGTGCACCGTAATGGTGAGCCACCTAACATGGTGGCCACATTGCAAACATGACTGATAGAATTCAGTCTGCACTGAAGATAGGACTAGACACATTACACTAGTTATTGACTATTGTGCAATCAAAAGACGAAAAGTCCGTCAGTAATTCAAAGGTAGGATGCTCGCCAGGAACGTGGGAGATCCGAGTTCGATTCCCGGCAGACGAACTCCAAATCGTCACCTGGGCGACGGAAGGCCGAAAAAGAAGGAATGTCAGGCATGAAGCTAGGAGTCCCAACCCGTAGAAATCAACACCACTGCCAATGACACCTCGAAACATGAAAGCCTAAGTTCCACTGAGGAATGAAAACAAAATCGGATAAAAGTTCTTTAGATAATTTTATGAATACGCCTACAGATGATGCGTCAATTTCCTAATTGAATAAACTGGTTGATGCTTTGATGAAAATTTCCAAAACATGTTTGTTGATTAGACTTTTGTGTAAAAAATACTGCACAGTTAGTATACACATGACTGCTATTTTTTAGAATTACACAATTGAACTATTTTTTAAAAGATACCTCCAAATCAATTCTCTAAGTAGCTATTTTTTAGTACAAAAATCATTTCTATGATCATTAAGTCATTTTAGTAATTGATATTATCCTATACACTTATGTCACTACTGGAGCAAACAACTCATGTACCATTCATTTTCAGAATGCTTGCCACACTTATAAACTGAGTGTTTATTCTCTGGAAGATATTGAAGTAGTTGATAGTAGTGACCTCTTCCATTTTCTCCAAGTGCACCAGACAAAATGTTATGATTCAGCAAAAAATCTTAACACTTGTTATCGTTGCCCTCTGTCTTCTAGTGTATGAGTATATAATATGTGGCTACAACCTGTTTTCTGATGTGGTCTGAGAGTAAAAAGCAGTTTAATGAGGTTGAATGACATCAGTAGATGACATGTAATTACACTACGGATATATGCAGCAGTGATTGCGCATATGGTAGACCAGAAATGCACAGTTTTTGTCCTTAGAAAGAAACCAAGTTGATATCGTTGTGAATCTGAGATAAACTGTACATAAATTATCTTCGCTTGTACAGCACTAACTCACACTAGCAGTATTGATTTAAACTTGATAAGGTTGGGAAAAGGCATAAAATTAGGTGTCTGCCTAAACTAGGATGTCATGTATTTATCGAAAGAAAATAGTATTGTAACAACAGAAGACAAGGGCCAGGCAACAGATCGTTTATTAAGGAAAATCAACACATATTTATAGATTTTAATGTACATTATTGTAGATTATTGTTAGTAGAAAATACAGTCTTTTGATTGGTTGTTTCTCACAGAAAGTTAACCTTGCATCTTTTTGTGGCTGTGTCAGGTCATCCATATGCTAACTGTATCCGCCTACGCAAAGTCTTTGTTCTCATTTCTCACCACCGATATTGGGGACATAAACATTGACGTCAATTACTGTCTACCAACTTTGGCTAGCAACCAGCTCTCCCCACAGTATATTAGGAAGTTATGATTCAATGATTAATGAGCTCAGCCGGTAACAAAAAGGTTCTGGGTCCCACTTTTAGTGCAGGCATGAGTGAGTGCTGCTGAAGAGTCTCAAATTAGGTAGAAACGGTTGTTCAGCACTAGCTGGCTTTCGATGGTACTCGGATATCAGCTCGTGATCAATTCCTAACAAGTCAAAGTTTGAAAATTAAAATCTTAAATAATAATTCTAATAATTATCTTTCTTTATCCTCATTTCAGATAAATTGTTATTATCGTAGGCAAAAGTGAAT